TCATTTCTGTTGAGCTCTTTTTCTGTCATTAGTTGTCAGTTTGTCCTCTTCATTTCACTTTCTGCTCCATTCATTGTGGCCTCTCTGCCACGGTTTCTGGAATCTTTGTATTTTTCATTTTTAGAATATCCTGTAGTAATCTCTGTAGAGTTGAATTGGAGGTTGCAAATTCCACTAGTTCCTCTTTATCCTGGAAGCACCTTGTTTTTCCATCAATTTCTAGGGACAGTTGTGCAGGATATATCAATCTTGGCTGGAGGTTATTATCTTTCAAAGCTTGAATTATTTCCCCACACACTCTTCATGATTTGATGGTTTGTGAAGTCTGCTGTAATTCTGATGGGTATTCCCTTGTACATGATCTGTTTCTTGTCTTTGATGGCTTTTAATATTCTGTTCTTATATTGTATTTCTGGAATTTTGATTATTATATGCCTGGGTGTAGCTCTGTTTGGGTTGTAGGTGGCTGGGGTCCTGTATGCCTCATACATCTGAGTATCTTTACCTTTTGCTAAATTAGGGAAATTCTCCTGGATTATTTCTGTGAATAGCTTTTGTAGTCCATTTGTTTGTGTCCCTACTTCTTCTTTTATGTTCTTAATTCTTAAGTTATAGATCCTCTTATCATCTTCTAGCCTTTGTATTATTGCTGTTTTTTTGTTATTTTTAAGAAGTTTTTCATTTCAAGCTCCCACATTATGAATCTGCCCTCCAGTTCAGATAATCTATCCTTAGCTTCTTTCAAGCTGTTATGGCAGCTTTCGATAGAGTTTTTAGTTTCCTGGTAATCTCTTTGAATCTGCTTCACATATTCTATGTTTTCTCTATTTTCTCCATCAAACAATTTTCCCCTTTTTTTCTGTTCTTCCATTCCATCATCTGTTTTTTCTTGGGTGGTGCTTAGTATTTCTCTAACTATTCTACTTATTTCTTGCTTTATTTCATTAAATACTTCATTTTTGAACTCGTCTATGAGGCTCCAGAGATACCGCTTTATGTCTATAGGTGCTGTGTCTGATATTGCATGTTTTCTGTCTTCATTCTCTTTTGCATTTACCTTTCCTGGATCAGTGTTCTCAGGACTGGGGACTGAAGACCCTTTCTTATTGCTCCCTTTTCCCATACTCTTTGTTCCTTCCATACAAGCATATGTAGGAGGTCCAGTTTTTTTTTTTTCTCTTTGTCTGTTACAGTTTGTTTGAATCCGCCGGCTAGGTGTTCCCACCCACTGCAGTGTACTAGGGAGACACAGACCTGGGCAGCCTCTGCTGGGCCCGCCCCTCCAGGTCAACCTACTGAATGTTTCACTGCTAGGGTGCACCGCCAGGTGCAGGGACCTGGTTTGGTCTAGCCTACTGGATCTTAGTCCATGGTGTCACCAGGCCAAGCACTCCCCACCACTCCCGCTTGAGAGGGGAATATGCGACTAAAGTCACTGCAGGGCCCTGTTCCGGCTAGTCTGCTCGTTCCCAGAATGTCCTCTGTTGGAGCCTCCTACTCTATGAAAGGGTCCCCATTTGTCTCACTCACTGCAGTCAATGCAGGGCTCCCTGCCAGTCCTGCTATCAACGCTGTTTGGTTCACCATTTGGTTCACCAATTCCAGCTCTCAGAGCTTTTGCAAGTCTCTCTCCCTGCCGTGCAGATTGGGATGCATTATTGGCAGCAGGAAATTCAAATCACGGCTTCCAGTGGTGTGGGATCCAGCTTCTGCACTGAGATTTTATCTGTTCCTGTTATAGCATCAGGATTGCATTTCCAGTTGGTTTCTCTCAGCTTAGTTCATTCCTGGGTCGGCAGTGTACATCTCCCCTCACGTAGGACTCCTAACACGGCACCGCTCCTGGATTCTAAACTAGTAATCTCAGAGAGCCTCTGTGACTGCTGTTATTTGTCCGCCATGTTCTCCTGGAACTTGCAATGCTTAAGTTTAATGTCTTATACGGGGATAGTTCATGATGCCCCAAAGCAATTATAATGGTAACTTCTAAGGTCACTGATCAAAGCTCACCATAACAGATATAATAGTATTGAAAATGTCTGAAATATTTGCAGGACTGTCAAAGCATCACACAGAGGGAGGAAGTAAACACATTCTTTTAGAGAAACAGAAACAGACTTGGTGGATTCTGGGCTGCCACTCACTTTCAATCTATATAAACAGAATGTTTTTAAGCTCAGCAAGGTGACATTCTATAAAATGAGAGACACCCACAATAGCAAAGATAGGATTTAGTTAAGGCTCAAAGGCAAGTGCCAAGAGAAATATCTCAAATAGAAATGCAGAGGAAGGAGTAAGAAATTCAAACTGGAAGAATGAAAAAACCTACCCAGGAGTAATCATACAGGAATGGTTGAAGTGTGAGGCCATTAAGACCTGAACCTTAGTGGTGGTGGTAGGGATGGAAGCCATGAAGAAAGAATAGATGTGAAAAGAAAATGTGTTATCAGAAAGTCACCAAGTCTTAGTGACTAACTGGTGGCTAAAGCATAATCTGGGAAGAATAAAATACATTGCATGTTTTCAACCCAAGTGACTGAAACTTTTTGTATTAATGGCAAATGGAAATTAGAAGAAACACTGCCAGGTGGAAGTGATATGGCATGGGTGGTTTTTGCTGTATTTGTTGCATGTGGTGTGACAGTCCTATTTATTGTCTGACAGAAGGCAGCACTGGCGATGTCTGTCTCCATTGCTGTGCTGTTTCTGGGTGTACCAGTGGTTTTCACATTTGGCCTTGTATTGACCAGAGTCCAGAAGGGAAGATAACTTTTCATAAACAGTAACTGGGTATCCACAGCCTGTAGCATCCACATGTACGACATATATGAGATAGCATAGGTGTGTAGTAGGCTATCTCACCTGGGTTTTCACAGTGGTGAAATTGCCTAAGAATGCATTTTGTGGAACATATCTCCATCTTTAAAGAGCGTATAGCAGTACCACACTTTCACCAGTTGTAGGTGGGATCAAAGTCAAGCATTGTAAAGAAAGATTAGGCACAGTTGTGTACAGTAGTGTACTGTCCTTGGTATTTGTATTCTAAGTATTCTTAGTTCCTGTGTCTTAAACGTTCTTACAAGAAACAATCCTCCCACTCTTCCTGAACTGTCAGCACCCCTCCCAGACCCTGTTTTACTGCCTGGATGCCTACAAAGCCACTCATTCCCTCTGTAACTCTGGTTGGTTAACACCTCCAGCTCCATCTCAGCAGAAGTATCCTTACCTCTCTGAGTCCTGCTTTACTCAGCTAGCATCTAGCACAGTGCCTGAAATATAGTAGATGTTTATCTAGTTTTCAAGTAACTGGAAGTGAGTGTGCTCTAATGTCTTATTCTCTCTGCAGACTGCATTCCTCCTGAGAAGGGCTTAGTCCAACACAGCTCTGTGGGCCACATCATATTGCTCAACTCTGAGCAGCCTCATCTCTATACTTTGCTATAAATAAATCTCTGGGGACATTTAGTTTCCATTCTCACCAGTAGATATTTAATTTATTTATCTTAGTCCCGTTTTTGGTGATAAGGAATTCTGCCGCTAACATTATTATACCCATATCTCCAACCATTTTTGAAAATATTATATCCTCAGGATACATACCTAGAATTAGCTTGATTAAAATATATGAACAGTTTCCCCTTCTCTTTCTCTTTTGTAATATTGGGGATCAAATCCTGAACTTCACAATGAGACACATCTCCAGTTCTTTTTATTTTTTATTTTGAGACAGGTTCTTACTTAGTTGCCCAGGTTGGGCTTGAGTTGTGACCCTCCTGCCTCAGGCTCTCTCTCTCTCCCTCCTTCCTCTTCCTTGTACTCTTTCCTTTATTCCCCTTTCCTACTTTCTTTCTCTCTGATATATATATATATATATATATATATATATATATATAAACTGATTTCAACTTCTACACATAGCATCACAGTGAAGCCTTTCTTCACCCCAGTAAACAGTCAATTAAATTTGGGGGAATTATTTTCATGCCTTCTAAATTCTGAGACTTTAGTTTGAATTGGTTGGAAGTATACTCTCATTCTGTTTTTTTTTTCTCTGTCTGTGTGTGTTCTGCTTATTTAAAAAATCTATTTCAGTGAGCAGATATGCTACTCTCATGCAATTATTTATTCTTTTATACTTTTCTTATTCAGTGTCACTTGATTCTTTTTTCTGAAAAGCAATATAATGTTTTCCTAAACCATAGACAATTTCCTTAAAGGATTTTCTTTTGGCATGGATTAAATTGAACTGTCATCTAGTTCACTGATCCAACGGGGGTGATAATACATTTTGAACAAATAATTTAGGAGGATTTCTCCTGACAAAACAAAAAGTGCTTTTAAAATGAAACCTATACTAACAGTAATAGTTAAGAAAAATGCTATCGCTTATGCTGTGATACCATATGTTACAAATAATTGCTTTATTTTAATATCTTATTTTACAATAGTATGATGCAGTTGAAGGTATTGACTAAGAGAATAAGTGTTTTTTTATAGAACATAGTCACCAAATGGACGATTAAGAATTCACTTCCGGGCTGGGGATTTTGCTTAGCGGCATAAGCGCCTGCCTTGCAAGCACACAGTTGTGAGTTTGATCCCTGGTACTGATAAAAACGGAAAAAGACAAAAAAAAAAAAAAAAAAAAAAAAAAAAAAAAGGAATTCACTCCCAACTGGCTAGTGCACGAATAATGCCCAAATGGCTAGTGCACGAATAATGAAAACTGGAGTTTGAATGTAGTAATATTTTATATTAACTAAGCATACGTGAAAGGTGGAGACTCTATTGGTTCAAGGGAGGAGGGACTATCTCAAGCGCATGCCAGCTACAAGCAGAGGGGACTGGGGACAATTCTTGCTGCTTGGACCACAGGTTGGTCTTAATGTCAGAAGCCTCAGGTGAAAAGCTCTTGTTTCTTCAGGTGTGTAAGAGGGTCAAGAGCTACTGAGATAGAATTTTCTTGGTGGATTCTGAATGGTTTTTCCTTGATCTCTCAGCACAGTGGTGATCTCTGAACCTAGCAAGGATCCAGATTCCCTGTCATTATGATGCTTCATCGATCCTCCCCAGGTGTAACCACATGCACAGGAGAGGTCCTGAACTGCTGCCACCTGTGTGGTGAGTCCTGTAGTCAACCTGGATTGCCTTTATGGTGCTGCCTCATTGGCCAATGCCTTTCTGTTCTGGGCACACATCTGGCCCTTCCCCGGGAACCCACTGTGTCGGGAGGAAAAGTGGATTTCTCTCCTTGGAGAGATGGCATTTGGCTTTGTTGAACAACAGTAGCTTAAATCAATGCAAATTTGTTTTTTCCACATAAGATTATACATATTTATATGTATTATATGTTCATAGTTCACATTCGTTTTGTGGCATCATTCTTAACCTATAGTTTTTATTTCATAGTTGCTTGTATCTTTCCATTAGGTCCACAGTTCAGGCAGAAAAAAGGCAGAAGAGGAAATGTTGACATCAACAGACTTCCACTTACATATATTTAAGAAGAACTTTTTCAAATGGCAGTATTTGGTTTCCATAGAATATGAAAAATTTAGTAAATATTTTAATTGCCTCTATAAAATAGCAGTTGGTCTAGAGAACTACACTGAATGCTAAACTTCTTTTTTTAAATTTTATTTTGAAAGTAGTAAAATACAACAGAACAAGACAGAATAAAGCCAACTAAGATTGTACAATGAAACTGGTACAGAACTTCACAGCAGGTTACCGGGATAACAGTAATAGGTATCACAGTATATTTTGTTATCTTTATAATAGTTGTTCTTTCAATCACGTATATCAAAATAAAATGAAACACAGAACATTATAGAACTTATCAAAACAGAATATTGAATAGAGCAGTACCATTAATCAGAATAGAGCAAAACAGTAATAAAAATATTTGCCTTCAAAGAGATGGTAGAAGGAAATCTTCCTTATTTGCTATGGTCAACCTCCCAGGAGATGCTCAGATTTCTGATTCCCATTTACTAATGGGGTGGAGACAGAAGAAGCAGGGTAGGGGAAGTGGGATATTTGACTCTAGGCTGTGCACCAGTAGGTTCACTACTGCTTAGCAGGGAGGCAGGCTGGTTGCTTGGTTTCCCCGCTTCGTAAGTTCTAACATGGTATGGATCTCAGAAGACACTGGTGGTTCTCCCCCCTGGAAGGGCCACAGTCTGCTACATTGAAGCCACTTAACAAGGAGGGGAGCCTCTTACTTGGTTTCCCAGTGTCCTAAGTTCTAACATGCTGTGGATCTCAGGAGCCACTGGTGGTTCTCCCCAAGGAAGGGCCACAGTCTGCCACACCGCTGCCGCTTACCAGGGAGGGCTAAACTTTCCTATTCAATTTGGCAAGCTTTTCCCTGAAATTCTGGCCAAAATTATGGTAGACCTTTGGCTGTAATTTTAGAAATAACTCTTTTGGTTAGCTTTGATATTTCTGTGTTATTTTTTTGTTTTCTTGATCTATTTGTGAAAAAGCATATTGAAGTCTCCTCTATGACTGTGGTGTTTATTTGATCTTTTATGTCTAGAGGTGTTTCCTTTATGAATTTGGGTGCACCAGTATTTGACCTTCTTTGCTTCTTTTCATCAATTTTGGCTTGTTATTCACCTCAAGAGTAAAATTGCTACCCTTGCTTGCTTTAGGGATCTGGTACTTAGAATATTGTTCTCCAGCCTTTGATTTGTACTCTGTGGATCGCTTTTTGGATTTAATGTGTCTCTTGTATGCAGCAAACTATTAAATTTTGCTTTCTGACCCATTCTGCCAGTCTGTCATTTAATTGTGGAGTTCAGATCATTTATATTGAGAGCTGTCATTGAAAGATAGGGACAGAAGGAATAATACTTTGCCATAAAGAAACATAAATTTCAGTCAATTGTAGGAAAAGGGATATACCATGAGAACATAAGGTTAAATGAAGTAAATCAGACATGTAAACCTAAATACTGCAAACCTCAGCTGTATGAGAAACCCAAAGTATAAACAATTTAAAGAGCAAAGAAAAAGATAGTAAAAAATAGGGTGATAGATCTTTGATAAATGGTAAGGAGATCTTGAGATGGAGTGAAGGGGAAAGAGAGGGGAAAGAAAGGGAATAAAAAGAAGTAAGATATATTATATGTTAGATATATTATATGTTACATGCACCTACTCGCTACAGTGTAATCAGTATGTACTATAAGCATGTACTAATAAAAAATAAAAAAGAAAAAATAGCTCTCTGGTTTGAAATAGTTTTAGATTCACACGAACATATAAGAGTAGAATATAGTTTTAGTGTAGCATTTATCCACATCCCTCAAATGATATCTTATAAGCACATGTTACGGCTTAAATTTAGACATTCCCCCAAAGAATTTGCACTCATAGGCAGAGCTTTGGGGAGGTGGCTGAATCATAAGAGTGTAAGTTATGGGTGCATGGCAACTGAATTAGTCCATTGATTGGTTTGGTGCAGTTCTGGGAGTGGATAATGGGAAGGCCCATTCTGGGTGTGAGTGGCACCAACCAATAGGATTATAGCCTGAATGGAATGAACAGGGTAAGGAAGGCTTGGTCCTGTATGTTTTTTGTCTGCCATGCACTGTTTCTTTTCCTCCATTCCTCTCTGCCATGCCACCCAGCCTTGGCGCCAGCCAACTGGGGACTGATACCTTTATAAAACATGAACTAAAATAAACCTTTTCTCCTTAATGTGTGGTTGCCAGATATTTTGTTCCAGCAATGAGAAAGCAATTAGGACAGCATAATACATTGTCATTATCCAGAAATTGATGTTGATATAACACCATTAACTCAAGTATAGGCCATATTTAACTTTTTCCAGTCTTATATATACTTTTTTTAGCCTATAAGTCTGCTATTTTATGTTGCCCTTTAATAGTCACACTCTTCCTCAGTTCCTTAAATAGCCATTTACTCATTATCCATCATCTTTTTTAAAATTCTTACATTGAGAGCGTTATATCAGTGGTATAATAGAATATGTAAACCTTTGATCCAGACTATTTTTATTTATTTATTTATTTTTAATGCTGGGAATTGAACTCACAACCTCACACTTGTCAGGCAGGCACTGTGCCACTGAGCTATATCTCTGGCCCTGATACGTTTTGCACTTAGTATAAGTTTCTTGAGATTCATTCAAGTTTTGATTCTGTCAGTATTTCATTCCTTTGCTAAGCAAATTCCATTTTATACATTCACCAGTTTGCTTATCCATTCACTCTATGTTAGATACTTGACTTGTTTCCAGGTTTTGACTATTACAAATAAAGCTTCCATTACCATTCATGTATAGATTTTTGTGTGAACATAAGTTTATTTCTGCAGGATAAATTCCAGGTGTATGCTTATTGGTTATACGATATAAGCTTATGTTTAACGTTATAAGAAGCTCTTCAAACTATTTTCCCGAATGGCTATAACATTCCACTTGAGTAAATATGTGTGGGTAGAATGGCTGGGTCACATAATGGACATATATTTAACTTCCTAAGAAACTGCCAGATTGTTCACCAAAGTGGTTCTCTTTTATAGTCTCACCAATAGAATATACTCATAAAAGTGCACATGTCATGCCATTGGACAGTCTTATTATTTATAACAGCAAAAAGCAGAAATAGTTCAACCAAAATAGCTACCCATTAATGAATGGATAAATAAAATGTGGTATATCCATGCTATGGATACTATTTGACTGCTACAAAGAGTAAAATACTAAAGTAATAAAATAGGCAAAAAGACCACATATTATATGATGCTATTTACATGCAATGTCTAAAATAGGAAGCTCTAAACTGAGAACAATTGGTCTAATAGTTGATGGGGTGGTGTAGGGTTGAGAATGACTGCTAATGGACATGAGGTTTGGTGTTCAGGTAAGAAAAATGTTCTAAAGTTAGATAGATACAACTCTACAAATACATTAAAAATATAGAATAACAGTTAAGTGAGTGGATTTTTTTTAAAGATAGTAATATAGAACAAAACAAGCAGAACAAAGCCAATTGAGACAATGCAGTGAAATTGGTACAGAACTTCAGGATACCAGGATAATAGTAATAGCTACTATAGTATATCTTGTTATCTTCACTATAGTTATCCATTCAATTAGGTACAGCAAAATCAAACCCAAAACAAAACACTATAAAATCAATTAAAACAGGATATTGAAGAAAGCAAAAACAATTACTCAGAACAAACCAAAACAGTAAAAATAATATTTGCCTTCAAAAATAAGATGGAAGAAAATCCCCTATATTTTCTTTCTTTCTTTCTTTCTTTTTTTTTTTTTTTTTTTTTTTTTTTTTTTTTTGTGGTTTTCGTTTTTTATCAGTACCAGGGAACAAACTCATGACTGCCTGCCTGCAAGGTAGGCGCTTATGCTGCTGAGCTAAATCCCCAGCCCCTGATCCTCTATATTTTCTATACTGCATACTCTCTTCCTCCCAAGAGAGATGCTCAGAACTCTGGCCCCAGGTCAGCATAATCAACCAAACAATACAAGCATTTAATTGCTTTATGTACCTTAGTTGCTATCAACTCTGGCTGACCTTGAAACCATACAGTTGCTAACAGGTGAAGGTGGGGCATGGGAATTTTGATTCTCAGCCCGTGCAGGTAGGCTCACAGGAGACACTGCCTTATTTCCTCCCTGCCTCACCCGTGGCTTGTGCTGCTTACCAAGGCTGACTTGTTGCTTTCTTATTTGGTCCTCCAAGTTCTAGCATGGTTGATTCTCAGGAGACGCTGACTTGTTCTCTCAAATTTCATGATCTGTAAGCTCTATCTTAGCAAAACTATTACAATTTATATGTAAATGTAAAACACCTAGAGAAATCCAAAGATTTTTGATGGAGAATAAATTTGAAATGCTAAAGCTAATTGACTTCAAGGACTACAAATTTACAGTAGTCAAAACAGTGTGGTATTGGCATATGTATAAATAAATAGATCAGCGGAAGTAAGTCACAGTTTTAAAAATATGTGTTTCAATATGTATGCACACATAATGACAAATGGTTTTTGATAAAGGTGCACAGGTAACTCAGTGAAGAATACATACTCCTTTCAATAATTGGTGCTACATTAGTTGTATATTTGTATGTGAAAAAGGGAACTTTGATCCATATCTCACACCATACACAAAAGTATTGTAATCCCAAATATTGAGTACAGTCCACCAAGTATTGTAATCTCTTTTCAAGTCTTCTTCACAATCCACAAAGTGACATTTATAATCCTATTGTTATATTACTGGAACACCAGTAAGTTAATTCCAATCTACCACCTCCAATGCAACCCATGGCCAAAGTATAGACACCAAGACATATTCCAGGTTAAGGGCAGCCAAGGACTCCTAAATCCAATCCCCATGAGGATGTGAGGACAAAGGCCTTGATCCTGAGCCTCTCCCAGGATTTATTACCTTGTGAAGAAAGGAGTGGTTCAAGGATGAGTAAACTGGCTAGCTAGGTAGGGACAAAAACATCTCCTCAAAATGCAGAG